AATAAAAAAATATATATATATATATATATATATATATATATATATATATATATATATATATATATATATATATATATATATATATATATATATATAACTTTTTAAAACAGAAATCATTTACATGAAAAGTATGTATAAGAACTGCTCAAAGGTCATTATTAAAATGTGCTTTGATCTGACATACGAACCTCATTGTAATTCATTAAAATATGACTAAATGTAAGTTTCGAAAGAATTGCACCTGTTTTTTGTTTTTTCCCAGCTCTGCCATATTAGAGTCTCTTTTCTTCGGTTTAGTTATGGGGTTGTTAGATTTGGTCTATACTTACCTTGTTGCTCAGCTTTCTGTTTCGAAAGAGGAACTGCGACAGATCATGTGACATTTACTGCATAAAAACCAAGCAAGGAAATACAGTGTGAGGAAGTTCAGTACAGAACCAGCGATGTATCCGGATGGGAAAGGTCAGTCAATACCGTTTTAACCGCTTAAATGCTGTAAATTATGTTAATATCAAGTAATTTAAGATACCGGATACCTGTTCTTGAGAGCCTCTGCCTTTACTTTCGATTTTGGGTGCTTAACCGAAGCTTCTTTTGTGTTCGGGCGTGAAGGCATTTTAACGTCGTTTATCTGAAGTACGTGGACATTAAATTTCACTTTAATTCTGAAACTCTCCAACATTGCCCTTGCTCTATTATTTTAAGTCTTACCTGAGCGCAGGTGTAGTTTAAAAAAGTTATTTTACTGTAGATATTTTGGTAAGGATTTAGCACATACAATATCCATTACATTTTATCTTTTCCAAAAGCTTTAAAGATCAGTTTTATCATTCGACACTCACTTTAGCAGGTGGAATACGGAAGCATAATAAAGCCTTAGATGCCAGAACAAGTCACACCGATGTATATTGGCTTCTTTGTTTTTTCTCATTAGTCACAAGATCAAACTGTTACCTCATGTGTGCAGTGTTTTTTGTGCAAATGATTTTTTGTGGAAGCGATACTTGCTGAATGTTGAAGTTCTTTCACACCCACATACTGAAGACAAATGCACGTACAGAGGAACTGCTTGGAAAAAGTGACTGGTCAAAATGTTCGAGCCAAACGTGTAACAATGAAACTGAATTACTGACTCAAACCACAATACAAGACAAGACTGGTACCAGGAAATGCATCAATCAACAGAAATCAGACATGCAATGCTTTGATGCATGAATTTATAATTTCTTATTTTTCCGTTGGATTAAAACTTCCTTTCTCCATCAAAGATTTTAGATGTTTATTCAGTTCACTTACACTGAGAAATCAGGTGACCCAATTTAAAAAAATCTGTTTATTTGTTACAAGTAATCAAATTAAGTTTATCCAAGTAAATATATTAAGTTTATTATGTTGCCATGTTGAACAAATTAATTCACTTTGATAAATGTCATTTGATTACATGTAACAAATTAATACATTTTTGTTAAGTTGGAGCTCTCTCTCTCTCTCTCTCTCTCTCTCTCTCTCTATATATATATATATATATATATATATATATATATATATATATATATATATATATATATATATATATATATATATATATATATATATATAGTGCTATTTTTTTGTCCCTAAATGTATTGGTGAACAAGAACAGTGATTATCAAAATCAAATCNTCTCAAAAATACATCATTTCCTTTATCCCTTCTGTGCAAAAGCAAGTGTTGCAAGTCATCCAAACACACCTAACTTCACTCCAGTTGACAGATATTTGTACAAAATAACATTAAACCACATAAATGTTTTCTGCAAGGAAATATAGATTTTTTTGGTAACACTTTATTTGAAGGGGGGTGAATAAGACTGTCATGACACCGTCATAAACATGACATAACACCTGTCATGAACATGAATAAGTCTTCATGAATATTTATGACTGTTGTCATAAAGCGTCATTTGGTAAATTATGACACTTTTAATACAAAGTTGACATTATTCAAAATGTCTTTGTTATGACAACTTGACATTAACCAAGAAATCATTACTGTTTAAACTTTATCTTTAATAACATAAAGCTACCTAATTTTTAAAGTGCAATCAGTAATACTTTAACAAATTTATATCAGTAATGATTTCTTGGTTAATGTCAAGTTGTCATAACAAAGACATTTTGAATAATGTCAACTTTGTATTAAAAGTGTCATAATTTACCGAATGACGACTTATGACAACAGTCATAAATATTCATGAAGGATTATTCATGTTCATGATAGGTGTTATGTCATGTTTATGACAGTGTCATGACAGTCTTATTCAACCCCCTTCAAATAAAGTGTTACCTTTTCTTTTTTTTTTTTTTTTTTAAATAAAATTGTAGCATGGTAAAGATTTTTATGTGCGGTTATTGCTGTTACCAAACTGTTTGGTAATGGCAAACAGTTTGGTAACAGCAAACAGTTTGCTGTTACCAAAACAGGAAGTACCCACAAACTCTCAGAAATCCTCTTTTGTGAACACATCAGCCTTTAAAACCACAAGAAGTAAAAAAAAAAAAAGTCATTATTTCTAACACTAATTAGAAACATTTAATTAGAAAGATCTAATTAAAACTTGATCTTTTTTTCTAGTTATCACTGTCAGAAATCTGACATTCAGCAGCAAACCTGACATTAGGACATGTGGAGTTAATTTTCAGAATTGCAACTTTTCTATGTTGTCTGGTGACTCAGAATCTGCTGATTTGTTTTTGTTCTTGTACGAAAGGTGAAAACCCAGGAAATATTTCGGGAAGCCACACCTTCCTTTAATTACTTCCATGCCCTATTGGTTGTTGGAATAGAGCTGTTCTGTTTTTCTTGTTTAGTTTGCAGTATATTGCCAGATTCATTTATATAGAATGTTTTTAGTTGCACTAAAAAAATCACAAAATAAATCTTAGATTAAATATGTCAGAGGTTATGTCTTAGTTTACAATTTTTCCACTTTGTTAAGACACTAAAAGTGAAGACTGAAGCGTGCAGTTTCACCTTGAAGGCGTTTCAACCTGGATGTTATATGACTTTTTAACTGATAAGTGTTATTGCTTATTTAAGGCAGTGACAAGCAAAACAACTGCTTTTGAAAACCACTTCCTCCTACACCAGCCTGAACACCAAAAAGTTGCTCTTCCTTTCGTGGTCTTGCTTGCATGTGACCATAAACATGTTTGTTCTGTTGAATTTGATGGATTAAAGAAGTGATCAACCTCTGTAAAGGACTGAAAAGTTGATTATTTAAATATTGTTTTTTTTATACATTAAATGTTTGTGTGTTTCTTAGTTATAAGTTTTTCTTCTTGCATGGCAAAGCCTACATCTGCCTTATCAAAGGTCAGATGACATCCTGTTTTGTCTGTGTTTGCAGGTCTGATGTTGGGGAGCCTGCTGCTCGTCTTTCTGTGTGTGGGAGCCGTTGTCTCGCTCGACAGCAGGCTGGACAACCACTGGGAGCTGTGGAAGAAGACACACAGCAAGGAGTATCAGAATGAGGTATGCAATTCAAGCTATGTAGGCAAAGTTGGTTGTTGCATGTACGACATTTTGGATTTTCTCCTTCATCTTGGAGAAAATCCAAGATGAACACATAGCAAAATAAACACTCACTCCCCTGACAAAGCCCATTCTGAAAACAAAAAGCTTCTTGTTCAGGATCTAATCTAATATTGTTTGTCTTAATGCAAGGTGACAGAAAAACAATTCAAGATGCTGTGTTTGTGTTTTCACAAGACCAAAGGCTTCATAAGTCACACAAAGTGTTTTAAAAAATGCTTCAGTGTAAAATTATCAAAATGAGGAAAATCAGCCTGAATAGTCAAAATGTTTAACTGCAAATGTTAGGGAGCTTCCTTTTTGTCAGCCCAAATTTCAATAACTGAAACTGTGTTTGTCTCGTTTTGCTCTTTTTGTTTGATTATTTAGGAGGAGAATGTGCACCGCAGGACTTTGTGGGAGAAAAATCTGATGCTTATTACTAAGCACAACCTGGAGGCTTCAATGGGGTTTCACACCTATGACCTGAGCATGAATTTCATGGGAGACCTGGTGATTTACCTCTTTCTTGTTATTTCCACATCACTCTTCAGTATTTAATTAGACTCCTAAATGAATAAATATCACAAGAAGCCATATAAGTGGCCTGGAATCAAAGCTTTTTGGAGACCTACATTAAGTGTTAACTTAATATGAACAAGACTAATTGTATCTTAGAAAACTTGGGTGTTTTACTCTCAGCTCAAAGTGAAGCATTGCTCAGATAGTTGTCTAAGTTATCCATCTGTTAAAACTCTGAGAAGGAAGCACTAAATTTGCACAAAACCATTCCATCAAGCAATCAACTCAAGTGAAGCGCAAACAGGAAACCAAGACCAGCTCTAACCACAAGTAGCTTAATAAAATAGTAATCTAGTGATGTAGCTTGTTTTGTATTTGCTTGTTTGTTTGAATAAAATTTTAACTACAGCAAATATATATATATATATATATTTAGGCTGGTAGTAAATGTTATGTTGGGTATATTTCCCAGCTGTGCTTATTAATCTTTAAGCAAATGAGCAGATTGTCTGAGAATTTTTTATTTATATTAAATCTTAATCATCTAGAGGTATTAACAATTTATGATAGTATTAGAAAAATAATTACAAATTAATCTTCTATGCTGCTTCTTGACTTTACTAATTTGTTTTTTGTTCTCAGAGTCCAGAGGAGATCATGCAGTTTTACACAACACTCACTCCTCCTACTGACCTCCAGAGGGCGCCATCTCCCTTCGTTGGGGCCTCTGGCTCTGATGTACCAGACACACTGGATTGGAGAGATAAGGGCTTAGTCACGAGAGTAAAGATGCAGGTAAAAATTTACCAAGCAAAAAAAAAAAAATCCATACAGATGCCAAGACAAACAAAGCCCAAAGTACAGCTGTACTTTTATGACTTGTTGAAAAACGTGTTTCAGTTTGCATTGTCATTGTTTGTGTTCACCTTTAGCTGAATACTTCCTGTTCTTTGTTGCTTAATCAGTTTTTTTTTTTTTTTTGCTGTATCATAATCATCAAATACATCCACCACGTGTGAGTCTGATGAGATCTAAATTCTCACCTGCATTTCTGCCTCTTAAATTCAGTCTTCTTTTGAATCCAGGGCGCCTGTGGCTCCTGCTGGGCCTTCAGCGCTGCAGGGGCCCTGGAGGGTCAGTTGGCCAAGAAAACAGGAAAGCTGGTGGACCTCAGTCCTCAGAATCTTGTGGACTGTTCCACAAAGTATGGCAACCATGGCTGCAATGGAGGGTTCATGCATAAGGCCTTCCAATATGTAATTGACAACCAGGGTATTGACTCTGATCAGTCGTATCCATATACAGGACGGGTGAGTAACTCAATTTGACAAAACACATATGAAATGTATATTTACATCTCTCATTTATGATGTAATGCACTTTACTTTTAATAACTGTTACAAACAAAGGTACAAACAAAACAGAAAAATGAATTTGTTGTCTGCAGTTTTAGTTAAGAGTGCATAGCTCCTGAATAACAGTCCATATTTGTAGGGCAGATACTGATGTCCTGGTTGTACATAAGTTATCTTTAAAAAATGTAGCAAATCAATATACTAGCTTAATCTAACCAGGAAGTCCCTTCCAGGTCTTCACTTTACAAGGGAGACCTGGCCAAGATCCTAAGCACACAAATCAGAACTAAGTTAAACAAAGATTTAAAAATTAAACATAAAACTGTGCAACTCTTTAAACATAGTGGCCAAAGAACAAAGAAGAGCATTCTTCTTTCACATAATTTGTGATAGAAATTGTTAATGAATATGGGAGTTTTACATTTCAGAAGTTTTTGTAAGGTTTCCCATGATGATGATGCGTGGTAGAAAACGGCTTGTTTAGCTCAAATCTGTCAAAAGCAACCACTGGGATGGGAGACAGGCAAATTATTGCTACTGGAGCTGATGGAGAAATATCACCGAGACACCAGGGAGTTTACCCAACAGAGCCTTATAATAAAAACACATCAAAGTTGTTGTCTATGTATATTTACTGATGTCCAGCTAACTAATTCATAGAAAATCCATGGGGAATTTGCATTTGAAACTAAAGGAGCATGCTAGAATACATCAAGGTTATTTAAAGTGGAAGAGCCTTGTATGCATGTGCAGTGCATTACTATAGTCAATCATATTCAGAAAGGTGGCTTACGCCATTTTTTGCTTACTCCATATTGAAGTACTTATATGAAAATACTCTTTCAATCACTGTATAATCTAACTTATACTGTCTGATGTTCTATTACAGTACAGTGTGGATGATGATATAATATCCATACAAATACAATTTTAAGTAAATAGGAGCATATATGCAACTGTAAAAATTTACTGTGTTTATATTACTTCTTTTATAAGATTTTTGTGAATTTTTATCTGTTATTTTAGGACCAACCATGCCAGTACAACCCGGAAACCCGTGCAGCCAACTGCTCCCAATACAACTTTCTGCCTGAGGGGGATGAACAGGCTCTGAAGGAGGGAATTGCAACTATTGGGCCCATTTCAGTTGCAATTGATGCCAGGCGACCCAGATTTGCTTTCTACAGAAGTGGTAAATTGGATGTCATTACATGATTTGGTTATTATAAACAATTAAATATTGATTTACTTTTTAGTAGTCCTTTCTAGTACAAATTAAGCTATAAAAGTTTCAAATTGCCTGAAAAAAATAAATGCCAGAGATGTTTTTTTTTTGTTTTGTTTTTTCATTTAGGAGTTTACGATGACTCAAGCTGCACCCAGAATGTGAACCATGCTGTCTTGGCTGTGGGCTACGGCACACTGGATGGACAAGATTATTGGCTGGTAAAGAACAGGTGAGTCATCGTGACGGTCCTGAAATTCTTGCTAACTTTTTAAAAGTTGGAAATTAAACCAGAATTTTTTTAATTATTTCCAAAGAAGAGGGAAGAAGAATTGGATGCATTGTAATATATATATATATATATATATATATATATATATATATATATATATATATATATATATATATATATATTGAATGACAAAAATGATAAATTCAAATTACATATTGCTGACTTAGATGGAACCATTTGAAAATACTTTCCAAGATCAGGATTAGGTGTAGCATAATTTAACTATGTTTGCTGCTTTTTCCCATCCAGCTGGGGAACTTCTTTTGGAGATCAGGGCTACATTCGGATGGCACGCAACAAGAACGACCAGTGTGGGATTGCTCTGTATGGTTGCTACCCCACCATGTGATGATAAAGGGAATGTAAAAAAAATGAGAAACAATATAATTTGAGTGTTACCTCAAGTAATCAAATATTAAGGTTTAAAAACAGCATATTTGATGTTTTTCTTCCTTTGGTCTAAAGTTCATTATTTCAAATTTTTCTACATGTGGAAACAAATACATTATATCTCGGACTGCATGCTTGTTTCTGTTCAAACTGTTTGTATTTTTTGATTCTAGAATAAAAAGATGTTTTAAATTTCCTGATGTGTTTTTTTTTTTTATTATTATTATTAAAAGACATTCAGTTTAAAGATAAACAGAGTCTCTAAAACCTAATCTTGTTTAATGGTTATGGCTCCTTTCAGCAGGATAAAGCAACTTTTTACAAAAATGATTCTGAAATGGGTCAGGAAACACAAAAGTTAGATGTTGACTTAGCAACCAAATTCAATCTAATTGAGCATCTGTGAGATGTTGGGGACAAATAAGTCCAATCAGAAATAAATATATATGTTTACACATTAAACACATTATTTTAAAATATTAATTATAGTTGATACAAAAAAAAAAACACTAAATTTGGATTATATGTTGTTGTTTTTTTAAATTTCAGATTTGTGTACAGAATATGTGGATTTACTCATCAACTATATATTTTTTAATTAATTGTAAGCTATAATAAATCAGGTGAAAAATAACGGAACCAAATGCTTTAATATTACTCTTAAAAAAATCTATTTATAATATGAATTACTGGAACTAAACCTTACCTAAATTCACAATTTCCTTTAAAACAGAGTAAATACATCCTTTAAAACGTCAGAGAGGCCTAGTCAGAATAAAGAGGACAGAGCCCAGCAGTGGGTTACAAATGAATCATTTTTATTTTTTAGTGCAACATCACAACAAACAATTTTCACATGAGGTATTCAAAGGGATTTTTCTTTAGTTGTTGATACAAAACGTCCCACCATGATTGATGTTTAAAGTGTTGTGTATCTTTTTTTTTAAGCCTTTGGTTGGTTAGCCACATTCATTAGTGAAGTCTAACACATGGACAAGAATGGCACAGTAAAGCATGGTGGGTCGATGAGTCCAAGCTGAGGTAGAGCCAACATTTCCCTCAGCCTGTCCTCAGTTAAAGCTTTCTGTATGGATTTCATTAATTCCTACTTACAACAGTGGGATCGAACAGTATTTCAACTACACTAAACATTTGGAAATAACAGGGGAAGGGAAAGGGTGGCTTACAAATGTGGAAAAATAGCTTCTGTCTCCTTTGACCTTTCCTTTTTCTTATTTCGGGATGAAGGCTTGATTCTCGGGGGATAATTCTAGTTTATGGAAAACAAGGAATAGGCAACGTTGATTACAGCAAGAACCTCCTTGCTTAGATTGTCACCTCCTTTTTTTTTGGTCTTGAGAATGATTTCATATATATATACAGAACATGGATCAATGGGACTCTAGCGTACTGGAGTTCAGCTTTGGCTGGATGGGAACCTCATCAGGCTCCTGTTTCGGATTGATTCCAGCACATTTGGTTTGGAGCAAAAAAAGGCATGAAGAAGAGACGGATGGACAGACAGGATAGATAGATAGATAGACAGACAGACAGACACCCTGACAGGATGGATTCTTTGGTTAAGGAATATCTTTGCCACACAACAACTCACACAGTTGAGGTAGATGGGTAAAGTCTTTGTGTACACACAGGGCAGGAAGGCGGGGACAGACACGGACACACTGGGGTTTCCAAAGTCCAAAAGACTTCCATCTGAAGACGTGGCCTCATGCCAGTTTCTCAGTTCCAGCTATACATAAAACTGTTTTCTGTAACATAAAGACTCAGCATCCCCTCCGGTGCTATTTTTAATCCTCTGAGTGCTACGGTCAGCTCTAATGGGGAACCATTAAAATGATTCAGCAGTTACCCATTCATCTTTGGTTGTTTTCTTTTCTTGTTAAAACAAAAATAAAATAATTTTTTTATTATTATTATTCTGAAAGGATGACTTATATTTAATTTCTACTATTTTACCATCAACATGCTGCTCAGGTTTCTGTCTCAGAGTTTCTGAAGATGACACTAGGGGGTGCCGCAAGTTAAAAAGGCGAAGGAATCACCTGCAGCATGGAGGGGTGTGTTCAGCCCTCCCTGCTGCCTCTCTGCTCACAGACAGAGAAGGAAGAGGCTTTCTGCTTGACACGGAGCAGAAGGTGGCTCAATGCAAACAGATCTGTCTCCATTTTAAGCTCCCAGTCAGAGAGACAAAGAGAAACCTGAAAGGTGTCACCTCAGCTTTGATACGATGACAGCGGCGAGTAGAGGTCGGCAGAAGATCCTTCAAGCTCTTTTATTTTGAATTTTTTTCACCCTGGTACTGACTTGACCACTCACCCCCACCTCTGCCCCCCTTAGCTCTCAGCATGCTTACAATTGTCACTCATTAAAGTTTAATTTAGCTCCATGCCCTGGTCCTCCAACACCTCCTGCTCCTCAAACAACCCCCCCTCCATCCTACTTTTTTCTACACACACACACACACACACTACCATCCTCATCCTGGATGATTCAGCCTCCTCTCTGATGTCTCACCCACTCCCTCCACCCCTTTCTGAATGCCCCCCTAAAGCCCACAGGTCTGGCCAACAGCAGACCTCAGTCCAGAAACCCAGAGAGGAGATGGGATAAAAAAAGCCTCCACTTTGAAGTCCACGAAAAGTCGATGGCCTCTTTCATGACCGCTCGTCTTTCAAGTGCACACTGTGAAGGGGGCTTCACCGATCCGCCCCCTTTCTAGGCGTTAAAGACGGAGAAAGAGAGAGAAAATGAGAGAGGGGGTTCAGGGCAAGAAAAAAAGGCCGTGTCAGCCTCGCTGATGGTTGGAAGCGTTTCCGCAGGGGGTCGGAGGCTGAGGTCTTCAGTGACTGTCCTGGTTTAAGCCTCCAAACAAACAAAACACTAGGAAATCTAAACAGTTGTGCTGTGCAAGTTGATCAGGCAACCTCGGAAGTTGATGACGTTACAAGACAATTAGGAAGAGTTGTTTAAGAAGTCCCTGCAACAAAAATGTAGATAATAAAATAAGTCCAAGGACTCTACCAAGAGACTAAGATGGACACCAGAGGTGTTCAGAGGATGAGGACGTTCTCAGACACTTAGGAGCAAAGGATGGTGTTTAAGACTTTCTGCACTTACTTTCTGAAATACTGCTACAACAGAGTTGAGGAAATATATCTTAATATCAGCAAGAACCCATAAAAAACAGAAGTAAACTGAAAAAAAAACCCTGTTGGAACTAAGAATGGGCTGATTGTGATATCAGAGTATACTTAGATTATGCTTTCAATATTTAAAATTGTCAATAATACAATTTCTATAATTCAAAATCCTTTAAATTTTCCTGAGAACATACTGATGTGACTGGGTTTAATCAGTACAGTAACAGAAATGACCCTCCCCCACCTGTTGCTGTGAACTGACATCAGCTGTCTTGAACTACACTCGTAAACGTTTTACCATAATGATATATTGTTCCTTACAACATTGGATCAAAATTAAACTACTGAGCTAGCTGTTATGAGTTGTAATAAAAATGCATAAGGAATAATTGTTTCTCAGTTTTAAATAACAGCAATGCATGTTTTACATATTTGTCACAAGTAATGTTGTTATACTGTGATACTCTCATACCAGCCCATGCTTAGTTGGAACTGAGATAACTGTCAGAAGGGCTTGGCATGTGTGGGACGGCGACATTACACATAGACGGGAGTTCCTGCGCTGCGCCGTGGAGGAGCTTAGGTGAAGGAGAGATGGCGGTCACAGCCATGCAAGTTGAGCTGAGCAGCAGCAGGCAGGTTTGCATGTGACCAGGGTGGACTCCCACTTTCACCTCAGACAACGCTTTAAGTGGGTCCCCAGATGCTTCATCCCACTCCTCCACATGGCATCGGTCTGGATGTAACTTTAACAAGCAACTCGTGAACCCATGGGATGCCACATCACCGTTACCGTCATCTATAGCGTAGTTATTTCTAAATATAATCACAACATTCAAACAAGCTTTGGCCTTGGCATTAAGAGAGGACAGCAGAGACATTTGCAAGAGTAAAGAATTCCCCATTTTCCTACAAAAATAAAAAAAATAAAAACAACCAAAACAAAAAGAAAAACGGAAAAAAAAGGCCAGGCCTTTTAGAATAGAGATAGAACATCACATGGCGGATCGGGTCGGGTTTGGGTTGGGATCAGGAACTGGGTTTAGGGATTCAGGTCGTACATTCAGGGAGGCAATGTTAATCTTTGGTATTACGATGGGTTTCTACAGCTAAAAGTGCCCATCAGAAAAAAGTCTTCAGTTTCACACAGACATACGGAGCATTGTTAAATAAATACTTACAGTATATAGATAGCATAAATAAATTACCAAATAAATACAGAGAGGAACACAAAAGGAAAACCATAAATGCACAAACGCAGTAATAAATACCATAAATCAGATCAGCAATTGCATTTGAAATGTTCTTGGTTTGATTTCGCTATTGGCTATAAGAAGGCGTGTTAAAGCCTTTCCTTTGCGGACCAAAACAAAAATTAACAATGACCTTCAGCAGGGCTGAAACAAACCGCCCCACTCTTCCAACATGTTTCCTATAAATAGGGCGATGTGCTTGAAATCTGTACAAAAAGGGCAGAAAGAATCACATTCCTCCATTTTCTAGACATCTGTTAAAAAAACACTTCAGAATGGAGCAGAGGTGATTACAGTTATTTGTAAATGAGCTGAAAAAAATACTAAAATCTCACTATACACTGTGTCAGATGTACCTATTTTCTATGAAACCGTTTGTGTTCAAATTTATTTATTTATTTTTTTTCTCTTTTTTGTGGCTTGATTTTGAGTCAAAAAAATGGCTGAGGAGCTCTTTTGTGGAAGCTCAGCGACAGTCTTAAAGCTAAAACGGTTGCATCAACAAGTCTGTTTCCGCGTCCTACTTGCGTTTATTGACTCTGTACCGGCACAACATCGGCGATCCCCCCTGAAACCTCTGATTAATTCAAGGCAAGACCGTCCCGACAAAATGCTGCAGATGCTCTCGGTGATTTATGATTAACGGCTGGGATTTACAGACGCTAACAGAACCCCGTCCTGATTATTCCAGGCTCCAAATTTGAAACAGCACCAAAACAGTCCTGGGAACCATCACCATGGAAACACATGCTAAGAAGGGGGAATTGACTTCATCACGAAAA